TTTTTAATGATTCAAATATGTTAATCATGAGTAAATTAAGTATATTTTTTAATGCGATTGTGATTCATCAGTGTGGGTTTCGTTGTTCAACTTAACTAATCCCAAATTACAAACATTTTTTTAGGTAATCTATCGATCAGTCTTATCGATGAATAGTTTTTAAATTTCAGTATTTTGCTAACATACCATATAATAGTAGTATTCAAACTTCTGTTTAGTACGCAATCGCTTTCTGACAATATTACTTGATTTTAAGTTAGCCTCCGTAAACAATATATATAAATATATATATAAATAAATATAAATAAATATAAATATTTATGATTTGATACAAGTTAAACAAGCGCAATAAAAAATTTGAAGTCAAAGAAAACTATTTGTCATTTACTAAAAATTTATTTACAAATTGCATGAATCGAATGAATGTTCAGTAGGAATAATAATGACAATAGTAAAACATTCTCTATTGGAGTTTTAAAGTAAATACACAAAACTATTATTGTTCAAGTTCATAAGAATTTATTAATCTTAAATGGAAACCAAAATTAATTGAATAGTTGTTCATTGCTACCTTTCATTTGAAATTATCATTATGAACGAATGTTTTCATAAATTATAAAAATAAAGTATCTTTCTACAGAATAGATGGGTTCTAGCTAGAAGTGATCTCCAAGATACGCATTTTATCTTATTTGCAGTCTTTTCTGCGTTCGCTTACGAGGTTTACTTAAAAACTTGATAAACTATGCAGTTTTAGAAAACGGTTATCAACTTTATTGATAAACCATTTGCAAAGCGCTTTATGATTTCCAAAGAAATGCTTTCAACGAAGAGGTTGAAATGTTTTTTATGTAAAATTGTGTTCTCATCACATTTGTTTGAGGGTAATATGGAATTAGATTTTATGCAATTGCTTTTATTTCTTAATCAGTCAATCGAAACAGAGTTATATATTTCATTTAAAAAAATTTAATCACTGGTGATACGTTTTAGGCTTTGTCAATATTCCCAGTCGACATCAAGGTTGTTGGGAGATCTCGACTTGATTTTAATAACGATGTTAATGGAATTATATACGAAATGATAACTTTTGTATTTTAGTCAAATTAATAAGTGAGTTCTGTAGGCTGTAGAAACATCATAGGAACAAAATAGGTCATCTAGTGATTAATGTTTGTACGTCAAGATATGCACTTAAAATCACATTACTTTCATATCCTAGTAATAAAACTTATTATTAATCAGGTTGAACAATCCAACTTACATTTTGCAAGTTCTACAAATAATTATACAAATATCCGCATGTCCGAAAACTGTTTTGCTACTAATTTGTTTTTCAGCCAAAACTTTAGTTGATTTGATGATTTTTTTTTTTCAAACATTGGAATTATTACATAATTGTCTGACAGGCTTTTCTTTACTGTATAGCAATTCTTTCTGTCAGTATTTTGATAAATATTTTATATGCCAACAGAATATCGGTGTAATGATAAAAATACATATATAGCTGAACTAACTGTACTATGTTCTTGTGATAAGTAGTGATTGCATTTCTGCACAATCAGAAGATAATATATCATTTTCGAATTTACAAAAACTATATTAAATAACTACATATATATAAGGGAGTGTATCTTTACTAGCAAAAAGAAAATATTTGCATGTGTATTTGTTAATTTAGTAAAGTGTTCTTTTTACTTATTTGGAGAAACACAGATTAACTATCTTAGTAAAAGGCATTTGAACATGAAATGTAATCAATGATTGACAGTAGTATTTACTCGCATAATGTCATCTTGATAAGACAGAGTAATAGAAGTTGTACATGATCGTCTAAATTGCTAAAGCTGCCAAATCATCATATGTAACTGCTATAATATATATTGACTTTGTTAAAAAAACCCTTTGATTTAATGACATATGCTTAAGTCATGCATAAAAGTGTAAACCCACTGAAAATTCATCAAAGCTGAAATTTGATGTGCTAAGTGCAACAAACAAATAGAAAAACTTACTATTATAGTTATTCATGTGTGTTAAGGTAGTAAAGTTCTACAAACTCTAGAAGGGTAAAGGAATTTCAGTAAGCGTATCAATGGTGTTAGTATATTCAATTTTCAAAAACCTAAACTGATTTATTGATGATTCAAACATCTAGAATATCATTAACGTCTAAAATGGAGTTATATCAACTCAAATTTATCATGAGTTTAGTCTTTGTCAATTATTGTAGCTTATAAAAGATAAAAAGAGTATTTTGGTAGCTAATATTCAGTCCCTTAAAGTATATAGTGTTGAAATATGTGCAAATTAAAGTAGATATTTAGTTCCTTTCAGTTTAGTTTTCCCCTTTTATGAAACCATATAACCATAAGTTAATGCACGACTAGTCATATCAAAAGCGTATTTTACTGTATTTCCCTTTCATCTACGAAGTAACATACAAGATCTGGAGATCGTTTTGATAAAATAACATAAAATTTCCAAAAAATCTTGCAAGAAATACTGTTGATTTGCTTAACTCAATGAATTATACTAAAATATTAGTTATAAAGACACTGTTACGCTAAATAAAATTAACTGGAGAAAAAAAATTTTCTCCTTAGTTTACGAATAATAATAATAATAGCGTGCGCAGTTACAATTCACTAAATCAATGTTCAATCTACCTATTACGCGTGATATTAGGAAACTTTCCGGTAAACATAATCCAATTTAAACGCAATACAAGTAACTATTTTTGAAATCTTACATTTCATGAGAATAAACAATTACTCAAATGAATTCGAGTGTATAAATTCTGTCGTCAGTTATCTAACTTAGATTTGATTTTATTGGTTACTGATTAAATTTCAGTTAAATGACTAACATGATAAATTAACTACTACGCACATAATGGTAAAACTGTAAATTATGCTTAAACAATAACAAATTAGTTTAACTAATTATTATCATTAAAAAAGCTCATTGTGGATGCAGTTTGTGAAATTGAATTTGCCTTGTTTTAATTTTTGTTTTTAATGTTAAAAAATTAACAGAACCATGTAAAAAAAAAACCATGATTCGTAATCAATATCTAGTGATTTGTATCAGTATGTTACTTTAGAATGAATATTTAAGTATTCGAAATTGCAAATTTAGTTGCTTTCACTCACTGAAATAGTGTCTATTTTATTCAGGCGTCATGCACATTCGGAGAGAATGGATACACTACAACGAATGACAAGCTAATAAAAACACTCAGAAGTTAATAAAAAATAAGAGATATGCAAATACTTCTTATCATGATGATTTCATTAATCAAATTTTAATTCATGATAGGCAAAATAAAACAAACAATGAGATACAGACTGAGTTTTTCTGGTACTGATATACAGATTCTGACGTAGATGGAATGGTTTTACACACGGGATAGAAATTGAATACCGAAATGTATCAAGCAAAGTATGATGTAGGAAAAATATCAGCTCTGTTTTTTAAAAAAAATAGTGCTATTGATAGACGACAGCTGTTCATTTTTGAAATGTGACTTAACTATTCCTTTAACAGTGTTTTTTTATCATCTTAAATTAGCTTAACTATCATCATTTCTCGGTGACAATTTATTGCAACTTCAAATTATAGGAATGTTAGGCATTATTAGCGTACTTGTTCAATGTTTCAGCAATTTTAAATCAGATAATAAAATTTTAAACAAAATTAAATATATATTTGTCTTGATAATCTAGTAATAGGATACTGTGTTTCATGTGACTGAAGACGTTTCTACTTTTAGAGTGTTTACTGATCAGTGAAATCTATGAATACAATATAACAGAAAAGCTTATTTACGACAAACTTGTTTAAATCATGTTTGATGAAATCAGTGATTATAACGAAAGCAATGATAGCCAGAAGTAGTAAAGTTCCAGCTAAATTCAGTTAATTAGTTATGTATCCGGTTTTCTAATAGCAAGGATTGAAATCGATAATGTTTGCAAAAGCTACTCTTAATCTTTTTCAATTAAAGTTATGGAGATTAGTGTTTTTACACATTCAAATCATCAAACAATCATTTTTATACCGTCATTAGAAACCTAGAAGCACTGGACGGCTGTTTCGTCCTCGGATGGGACTCCTCAGTAGTGCATGTAGTAGGAGTCGTGGATAAGGCCGTCCAGTTGCCAAGGTTTGTAATGGTGGTCTGACAATGATTTCAGTGTGTAAAGATTTTTAATTTTCAAAATAATTCACAGTATTACATTTTGCATGGATGACTGAAATAGCTATACACAGTCAGTTAGATCCAAAAATACTGACATCTGGTGTTGATTCTTAATAATATTTAGTCCATACTATGAAATTTTTCCTAAAAAGGATGTTTAATTTTAAATCTAAAAAAGCGAATTCCTTAATGCTTTGGAATGAAACTTGAGAAAAACTTGCATAAAAGTTTTCAGTAAGGTATTATTAGTGTCACGGTGAACGGTGAAAAGCATATGTATTTCCCATAGTGTTGTTTTAAAATCAACCCCAATGTCTGCTATTTTTTACTTTTATGGTTTTTACGTGAAATTGTAGAGCATTTCCAAACTTATTCAATATTTGCTGCAATCAATCCTATTCCTAATCATAATATCATATTTTGTAACTACAACGGTAGTTTATTATTTATTAGGCTTTCATGTATGTTTCTCCATGCACAGTATATTTCAAATTCGGCAATTTCGTGTCTCCATTGGGATCATATTTACGACCTGTACTTAAACGGAGCTTTGATACTACCGGTTGCATTCCCCTTGAGGTAATAATAAATAAGAGTTATATTTCGGATTTATGACAAAGCCTCATGATCCATGCAAATAATGCATGAAAAAATTTGCTTCCAAATGAGGAATATTTAAAAACTCGTGTCTTGTGTTAGTCAAAAAAAACATTGTCAGAAATAGTTCTGACACTTGATAATAGACAATTTACTACAAAAAGGTGTTGACTCAATAAAATAAATTATTCAAACTTACGAAGTACGCCGACAACAAAAAATCCTGATAAGAATAATGTGGCCGCTTGACGACAGGTAGGTGATATCTCCATTGTAATATGATATAATCCGTAAATTAATTCATCTATGGACGCAGTCATCTGCATAATTTTCTCTGATTTCGTCTCACTACTATTATCATTGATATTATCAGCAGTAACACTTGTTGTAGTAATATCAGTATTGTTTGACATGATTATTTTGTAGTGTATGTTGTCTGTATGCTATAATAATTACTACGAAAGAACAAAACTTGTGAGCAATGTCATGTTATTTTAAATTATCTCTATCTTTTTTGGTTAATGTTATTTCTAGTGTACTGTAAAATTGAAGCACCTCGAATACATCTTTTATTTATAGATACTATATTCATAATTCATAAAATCTGAAAAATCCCAAGTCAAATAACTAAGAGTTCAACAGTTTTTAGGAAGAATTTATACTGCTGGGCCTGATCACGATTTTTTTTTCACATTGTGGTCTACAAATGATTTGCGTTTAATTGCCCTTTTTAATACCATTGTGTTCATACGTTTGTGAGTGTGTGTGTTCCAGCAGTGAAGGTTTTTCAATCCTGATTGTTTCGCTGTTTTGATTCGTAATTTCCATATTATAGGAATAGAATTCACGATACTTTATTGGTCAATAATCTGACATTTATATATATATATATATATATATATATATATATATTATCTTATGAATTAAATAATGTTGATTTTAAACAACTAACTGTATGTAAATTTGCTTTTCCCAAAATTGTAAAATACTGTTTTCATTGAAAACATAACTGAAATGAAATGTTGAAAAATGTCGTTTAAGCGTGGACTCCTCAAAATTTTATAAAATCTAATTAAAGTGCATTGAACATCACTTACTATACATTCATTAGATATGTGTATATATTTATGTATGTACGTATTAGAGTACAATGTTTGTTTCTGGTTTCTGGTTTCTGTAAATATTTCACTAAGGTATGTTTTCAGTTAACTCGTGACAGTCAATTGTGGGATGAGACCGTTTTTAATACAATTTCTGTCTGCTACTTCAAAATTTGATTCTAAGGCATTCGGTACTAAAAATGTTACAATAAAAATCAAATGAACTGTCATTGTGATTCAATTGTTTGTTGACTAGAGTTGTCGTGTGTATGAAGTTCAAATTCATTCTATTTGCCTCTATACACTTTTAGCAAAGTACCAATATACTTTGTTGATATTAAGCAATTTTCTATTGGAAAAACTAAATTAAAATGTATGTCAGCAATGGAGTATTGTACCAAGTAATTGCATTAACATTTTAGTATAAGATAATAATTTAAAAGAGTAAATCATTAGCTCATAGCATTTTAAAAGCCTTAGAAAAACTCACAGATAATGAATGATAATTGGTCTGGAATATCGATCAAAATGCTGAAGGTTTTTCTAGTACATTTTTTTTCAGACTTTTATGGTTTGATAACAGCTTCAATTTATTTTTGAAGAATAATAGAAAATGTGATGATAAAATGCTTACATCTGTAATTTCATCACACAATAGATCCTTTGTAATTTATTGGGCATTTTAACTTGTTTAATTGATTTTTAAATGAAATGTATTACTTTTTATTCTTCTGTATTGTTCCCATTATCATTTTAAGTTGTGCACTGTATTTTACACTGGACTTTGAGGCTTATACTATGCTCAGAATGTACATTCAATGTATAACATATATATTGTTGCATATTTATCAAGGGGACAAATTTTTCGGCATGTGGAACTTCAGGATAAATCGTCGCTGCATATCCACTGCGTACTACTCATTAGCAAGGTTATCAGTAGCATACACAACATGGGTTATGACATTAACGACGGTTTTCTAGAGTTTACTGAGTCGGCTGCACTTATTTAAGTTATCTTTTTGAACTTATTAGTCATTGTCTTAACAACATCATGATAATAGTGTTCGCTTAAACTAATAAAGTTTCGGAAGTTTATTATAAACACAGTAGTTATTTTCAGTGATTTCTGTATACCCTTTACACATATTTACCCACAAAAACACAACTTCAATAAATCTAATTATCCTTGAATTCATCTTTGTTTTCTTGTCACTTATTTTGTTTTAGTCAATAAAAAAAATACTGCTAGTAGTCTTGTGTGGCTTATTAATAATAAGCGCAAATTTATTTTCTTCTCAGGGTAATGTTATATTGATTACCCAACAACCAGTCAGTTTTAGCCAGTAATTTTCAGCGAAAGTTTAGTTAAGCATATATCTGTAAGTGCATTCCACTTGACTCTAGGCTATCATCCTTTAAGAAATTAATTAATTGCATACATCATTTTGTTTAAGAAATATGATTTTTATGGTTGATTATAAGGCTTCATACTGCTGACACTCTTGAATGAACACCCTCTGCTGATATATGAATTCTTACCAAGCACAATATGCAAGGTCATATTGATAATTTACTAGATCACTTCATAAAAGTAACAATATAAACTGTTTTCATTGACAATACATCTAAAAGCTTTTTGATTAGTCAAAAGAAAACCCATGTGTTTTTTTTGCTTCAAATCGATAAAAACCCATGCATCCATTGGTTTTTATTTAGATTAGTACATTAGAATTACTTAATATGATTAAAAAGTTTGATTCTTTGTTTACTTCCATTTCTAACTAGCCGTAGTCGTCGACCTACTTTTTATAAAAAATAAATTTCATCAAGACCGATTAACTAGTACGTTTACTAATGTTAGTGTGACTGTATTGTACAACTGTCATATGAATACCAATTTTATTCTTCAACTCAATTACTGTGAGTTTTATTCATGAAGCACAATATTAACTGATCCAGGTGACATTAGTGTGTATACTTTGGATCTGCAGAAGTGCTGTATGTATCAAGTAAATGTGGAAGAAAAAAATACTTATGCGATAAAAGTGATCCAACGGATAGTATCAGAAAGATTTCAAATGTAGTTCATAATTCACAATGCATACATCAATTCATAATAACAAGCTAATGGTCATTTGTTGATATCATGAATCTATGAATGTTAGACTACCATTAGAAACGTGGAAGCTGTCGACGGCCGTTTTGTCCTGGTATTGGACTGATCAACAATGCCCATCCACGAGTCCTGATATTCACAAGAGTCGAAGCCCGGATCAATGGTCTTTCGGGTGAACGCTTAACTTCGGGACCACCAAGCCAGCATCCAACGGTTTCAGTGTCTAACTGTGATCAATCCACGGTCTTGCACAACCTCATCCACTGTTTTTGGTGAGCAGTGCTCCAAAAACAAACAGAGTTGACTTTCACTTGACACGACTGCTTACTAGAACTCAGAGAAACTTCTTCATGGAGTTAGTCACTAGTGAGAACATGATAATTTTCACGATAGGGTGATGATAATTGCTGAGTCACTTTGAAATCATGAATCGATCAATCGCCACAACCCTATAATGCAAACGATCGTCCTGTCATTTTATTTTGCTCAGAACACAAGGTGAATAAAATCATGATAGATCGTACGTATACATACAACAGTATAAATACGTTGTTCACCTGAATGTTTTGCTCTAATCCTTTAGCGCGATATATTTTGCGATTATTTTATTTTTTTCCAAGTGTTTTCTTATTTAACTGAGTATAAAAGCATGACATGAATGTTCAATTCGTAAGCGATCAACTTGAATTTCAAAACATTAATGGGAATAAACTAGAACAACAAATTCCATAGTGTTGATATAATTTTAAAGTAGATTTTTTTGTTCAGTTTGAATTATTCTCCGCTATCATTATCTTAAACATCTTTTCGCTTGTACTATTTGAAGCGAATAATAATCCTTTTGAAACTGAATCAAAACATCTTAATAACTTAATCTTCTAAAAAAGCTAGAAAAAATTGTTATTACTGGAAGAAAATATACCTGTTGATCATTACTAAAATAATTCATGTATAAAATTTTCTTAAAAGGAATTATCAGTCTACTTGATTGTTACTTATATCGATGAGTGGTGTGCATGTTATGTCTGTATTTCAATTATCTGTTCTAGTTTCTATTGTCTACTTAGATGAACATTCAATAATACATAATATGTATTTAAATTTCTGTAAATGATTTCAGCATATAAATATAAATATAAATATATATATATATATATCTGCACGAATCGGTGGTTTGTAGCTGATGTGAAACACGTCAGAAGGGTTATGACTGTCAAAGGAAAACAAATATACCATCAGATTTAAAATAAAATCCAACTAAATCACTCATTAGATAAGCATAGAAAGAAGCAAATACTTATCTATTTGTGTACAAAGACAACGGGGTATTTGTTATACATTCATGCAAAACAAACAAATGTTAACTGAAACAGAATATTTCCGACTGTGTAAAGGTTGATTTTTGTTTTTAAATTGTTTTTTTTTTAATCTGTTCGTGAATATCCTTTCAGGTGAATTATTGTTTACGATTTACACACAGTGGTATCGTTGATATGTATGAGTAATTCGATGTTCACTTTATTTCCTTTCTGAACTTCAAACTACTTTGTGCTGCATATGATAAGGTAACTAACTGAGTGATCAGTATTCGAGAACTACAAAGATCTGTGACTAACTGATGTGAAATGTTTCAAGAAAATTACCTCACAGGTAATCGCTGGTAATCGCGATGTGACATTTGAACTTTCAACCAATTAATTGGTAGTGGAATGTTTACGTGACTAGTCCATTGTTTCGAAATTCCTGAAAGAAGCAAATTCATGAATATTAGCATACCATGATAATACAGTATCGATTTAAAATACTGATACTTCACATTAGTCTTTGTTTGCTAAACGCTGCATACATCTAGTGAAGATCATAGATAAATAAAGACATGTAGGTTCATGTAAACAAACTATTTTATTGAAGTCGTGAACTGTTCTGTTTGATTCAAGTATGAAAAATAATTTGTCACGGATTCTGTACAGCGATTTACAGCCTGAAAATAAAAGTGCTGCTCTTTCGAAACTATGTATAACAGTAGTTAAAATCTTCATAGTCCAATAAAGCTTCTAAGTACTTGTTTGTTGACTGCAGTTCATGAGTTCGTAGATGGCTACACCGGATTTATTGTCAGGAGAATAACGAATAGCTCTAGACACATTCTATGGTAAGAAAACTAGATAGGTTAGTTACCATTAAGGTTTTCTTTTCACACTTTAAATAACATCTTCAAAATTTATTAATTATTTAGTAGTTGCGATTTTTACTTTACAGCCCAAGTATTGATTTCACTTTTAACCTAGTAAAAGTCATTTATCATATTAACCATCTGGCCTTTTGATAATTGATGATAGTTATGTTGATTAGAGTTTTATCTTAGTAGAATAAAAACAAAATATTTTTTATTGAAATGAAAAATGTGATTAGTCACATATTTCCCTTATACACTATTATACTGACCAACTACATATAGTTAATTGGATATCATGGTGAACTTTTTCTGAAAAGATATTTTCTTCAGTTTTTTGGGATTTTGTTTTATCTGTATGTGAATAACTTTGTTGC